AAACAGAAGGAAACATGGTCAAACTTGAAGTTCAAAACCTCACTTTACAGTGTAATAACATTATTGTTAGTAGTTTAACTGTACCTTATTATACAATAGACCTACAATAAATGCACTAAGGTGCTGATTTAACTCCCAACTAACTGCTCAAGCTGTATTTGGTCTTGACGAGTAGGTTTGTATTATATTCTATCATATTCTGTGTCTTTGGTTAGAGTTTTGACATTATGTATGACGATTGTTGGAAGCTAGAAGGGCACAAACCCCCATCAAGGTCAAATCCCTATCTTGCGATGTTAACGAAAGTGAAAAAATAGTTTGTATATCCGCCTCATTAAACAGTATGTGGTCCAAAATGTTTTCATTGGCCCATGCTCCACCCTTTCGCCCAGGTTTAATGAAAAGTACTGACTCAAGAGTACAATATAGCCATCTATGGTGATGCGTTTATTGCCAAGTTTATATTTGCGTTATTAAAAAAAACAAAAAATATACAGTACAACCATACTCTAATATCTCCTCGAAGATCTAAGTTCTGTACATTTGCTAACAAGAACCATTAAAATAGTAACAATTTAAAACAATTCAACATGAGACCCAGGTGTCTGGCTTCCACATGGGCCCAATAAAAGCTAGCTAGGGGGGGGGGGGGGGGGGGGGGGGTGTTGATCATTATTGGTTATTTTAGATTTAGGTATTATACGCCTTCAGACAAAGTTGAATTGGCAGATTTCATACTCCTGAAAGTTACGCTGATACTTAAATGTACTGAGGGTGAATGCAGACACTGGTCCTGCGTCATACTGGACCGTTCAACAGTGAGCTGCAGACTGTACCAATATGTGTATGTGCCGCTGCTGTATGTGCATTGTTGCTCGTATGTGTCTACATGTGCACGCTTGCCTGTGTGTGCATGTTTGTGTTCTGCATGTCGTGTGTGTACTCGTGCGCATTCGCAGGCGCGTGCTGGTGTGTGAGAGGTGCTCCCCGTTGTGTCGACCGCGCCACCATGCCATCTGGAGAGGAAATCGAGTGTGAAGTACAGTATAGTTTGGGACCAAGCTCCGTGGCAGCGGCTCAGCAGTTAGTTCATTAGTTCCAAACTTCCAGGGATTAGGAGTGAATCTCTACGGCAGGGAGGCAGGGGGGAGTCAGGGAGGATGGAGGGACCCATGTGGGGAAAAGAGAGGGAGAGAAAGGCCAAGAGGAATACTGGACCACAGGGCACTAAGAGACAGAGAGGGAACACGATAGCGAGAGATAAACAATCTTAACCCTTAGGACCCTGGCGAAGGAGAGAGGAGTGAGAGGGAGGGACAATGAAAGAACAAGACAGCGAGGGAGAGAGGAGGAGAGAGGACAGGTGTAGCCGTCAGTTCCGCTCCGGGGCTTCAACCTGCCCTCCCTCTTCCTCCACCCCACTGATCATACAGATATGATGATATGTGTAAGAGTGTTAGAGCAGTCAGCCTTGTCTTCCCTCCCCTCTCTCCTCCCCCCTTTTCTCCCCTCTGGGTCTGTGGTGACAGTTAGCAAGCTCTGGGTGGCTCCTACCCTTTACTCTTCTTCTCATCTCCCTGCCTCGTAAGCAGCTAGCATCACTGCCAAGATGGAGCGTAGACATTTTTGGAGTCAAAGCGGCAGGCAATTAAAGCGGGCACTGCCGGATTTCAATTTCCAAAGGGAGGGGGTGGACTGACCTTCAATGGCGTACCTTTTTGTCATGAATATCCTTCTCTGTTTTAAGGTGAAGGTGACAGATAATGAAAAGAATACATTAATAAACACATAATAGGAGGGTGGTTCTGGGCAGAAGCCCCATTTAAGGCCTATCCATGCATACTCAGTAACTAACCTCACACTTCACCTAACGCAGTGTTGGCTTTATTAAAACAGAGGTTCGGATGGCATTAAGAAGGTCTTGACTTGCTTTGCTCCTATTATCTCTCTCCAGAAGAAAAAAAAAACAGTCATGCATTAAGACCATTGTTGAGGCCTGGGATCTCTTGGCAAATGCACAGTGCCAACTGAGAGGTTGTCATGGTGAATATAATCGCAGCTATAGTATACACCATAGCATTTGTCAGTCAAACATTTTTCATTTCCAATTCAGCTGGTCTAAGAGCAGAGTGGATCATAACGTTTAGCCCTGTCGGATCACAAAGTCAAAAGTAACATTCGGTTTTTAGAAACCTATGGGCTACCTATGGGCAGACAACATGTCGATGTATCCTTGGGCAAGATACTTAACCCTGAGTTGCTCCCGATGGCATCGCCAACGGTGTATGAATGTTAGTTCCTAGAGTAAGGTACACTGCTCTGTGTGAATGGGTGAATGACGTAGTATGTAAAGCACTTTGAGGGGTCGTTAAGACTGGATAAAGCGCTATATAAGTACAGTCCATTTACCATATGTTGTAAGTGTTCAGAGCTTTTAAAAATAATTATATGGCTTGGAAGAGCTAGCATGCAGTGCTTTTTCAGCTCAAGGACCTATAACGAAAATGCGGTTGATTCTTTCTGACAGTTTGGTCAGAAACATGAACATGAGTAGCAATGTGTGCTCTTCCTGTTCCCCCTCACGCATACAGTAGGAGCAAGTCCTGCAGCTGGGTTGTTGCTCTTTTACGGCGCTGTCCAGCTCTCCGTGTGTAATGGCCCAGCTCCTGGTATCTACTTCATACTCTGGAGACTGTGCTGGGAGATACAGCAAACATTCTTGTGACGGCAACGAGGTGGCCACCTGTGCAACCTGAATGTGCTGCAGGTACGTCCTCGTGCTCCAGGAGTGACAAGAGCACTAGTCAAAAGTAAAACTTGAGTAATATCACCCAGAAAGGATGAGCAGAGAGAACCGGTCTTTGGCCACCAGCAGCAAAACCATTCCCCTTTTTGGGCTCGTCTTGCTGTTGCCTAATTTGTCACAAATACAGGGGAATTTGATTCACAAATCATTTATGCTTCTAAACTGCACCTGTTCCATCCCAGAAGTTGAATGGACTGAGATTTAACCCGTGATGATTTAGTGTTCCCTGAAATGTTTTAAGCATTTGAGAAGCGCAATCGGATTTGCGTTAGAAGGACAACTTACCAACATAGCAGAAACACCACATGTCATTACTATGATGCTGAATGTACCAGACAATGATTCAATCGGGTGCTGCTGCCATTTGTACCAAATGTAATTCCAACACTGCATATTTAGCATCTCTTAATTGAAAAAATCCTATGTATGTAAATATTTTTGCATGACTCCAAACAAATAAAATATACTTAGGGCTAGTAACTCATGGTGTCAATCAATGAATATAATAGTATAGAGTATGAATACATATAAAGAAAATATTGTTGAGTTTTTGTACGAGAACTAATTCGCAAAAGTGATTCCAAACAAAGAAACTAATATCCAAAACAAATGTCGTTGACACAGACCGGAACACGCAAGAGCACTTTGTTCATCCAACAAGAAAAATACCAGCGTAAAGGGAACGGAAAACGACACAACAACCCCCATGGATTTTCAATCGCCACAGTGGAGTAAGAAGCTGAGAGTGTGGGAAGTGAAGAAAGGCCAGTAGGAAAGGTGCATTATGTTATTGAGTAAATAATACATTTTCATATCACACAGTATGACCTGGCAAATACATATTGGGTAACTGGATTTTGGCCCACTGTGGCTGACTGTAATATGGATTTATGGTGTCGAAGAATGTGATGCAATGCTTTGTAATTTATATTGCTGATGCAGCCAGATCAGAGGAAGGAAAAGTAATAGGATTGTTGGGCAGGGAACATTAAGGTGAAATACTATTGTTAGAGAATGTATTGTTGATATTGTTAGAGTTCTACTAGTGGAAGACAGAGAGGTTAGCCTATTCCATTACATCAAATTACTATTCATGTCTTACATTGCACTGTAACTTATATTTTATACCTTTCTTATTCTATTTTAGCCATTCTATGTATGTGTTTCTGTTGCGCTTTACGTTATCTGAATGCTTTTAATGTTTGTTTTGTTTGCCTTGTGTTGAAATGTGCTATATAAATAAACTTTTACCAGGGCCTAAATGCAGTCTTTAAAAAAAAGGTACATCACACCAGATCACAAAAGGTCTTCTAGAAATGAGAAAAGTAAATCAGATAAAATTCAAGATTCCCATTTGTTGCCACCAAACTTAAACTTTTAACCTTAAGGCGTGAATACTGCTTTAAGAAATGAGTGTGTAAAAGCATGATACTTTTAAGGAAATAAAAATAGAGATACAGCTGCTCACATGCTGACAGGCTGACATCCACTGTCTGAATTCTCCTCTAGCCTGAATGGCTGCATTCCTCTCTACATTTCCCCCTCTAACACATAATAAAGACAGAAGCTCTGACATCCACCAACTCCATCGCAGGGTCACAGTTTAGCCTGTCAGTCACACAGGCCATCATCTTATTGTCTTTGTCTACTACAGGAACAGCCTGCAGCTATATCAATCATCTTTATTATCATGACTTAAAAACCTTTGTTTGTTAACTTTTTACCCGGGCCCCTTCTTTATCCCACTCTCCAATCACAATTTCATGGGCAGTTCAGCAGGGCCAATGGGGAGGCTGAGTGGGTGGGGGGAGAATGCTTTTAACCTGCTGCATCTGGTGCTTTCCCGCTGCTAACCCAGTGGGACATGGTCACCTTGTATTAAAGGACCCTGATAGGGGGGCACCACTGCCTTTATACTATCATAATAGGGTGAAATGTGCTTGTTTTAAACATCTCACTTAGGTAGTTTTCCTTTCAGTGATTAAGACCAAGCACCTGTCTGAAGGAGGCAAAGGTAATTAAAATAATTCCGGATCTCACAGCTGTGTGTGTGAGCGTGTGTGTGAGTGTGTGTGTGTGTGTGTGTGTGAGTGTGTGTGTGTGTGTGTGTGTGTGTGTGTTTTTGTGCTCCTTGCTGACCTGTTCTTATGAAGCCGCATTTCATTTATACATGTGCACCTGTGCATTTGTGTACCTTTTTGCTGAGGGCTACGCCATCCTCACAGTCCAAGACGGCACAGTCGACATCCAGCGAAGCTAGTTTCCTCAATTTCCGCTCATCATTGCCGGGGCAGTAGAGAACCGCCCTGCGGGGTATGTAGCGCAGTGAGGAGCCTGCCGAGTGGTGGTGATAACGCCCGGCCTCGGTATTCTGCCAGGCTGTGGGAAGGAGCCAACCCCTCTCCCTGTCAACACAAATATAAAACATACATAAGCACAGTGGCACAAGATGGAGCAGACACATGAGTTTGAGTCAATTTCATAAAGACTATAGTGCAGTGTCTGTTTAAACTGTGACTGTTCGGAACAGGCTGATTTCTTGGCCCTCAGTACTGACTTTCTCCAGAACCGCTCATCCACACAACAGAGTGCTTCCATTTTAGTTCTCGCAAAAAATGCAAAAATGCATGTCTTTGGTGCATACATTACTCATAAAAACCCGGGGTATCAATACAGCGCTAAGGGCAATGAATAATTAAAGGTTGTTGCTGCATTCATCTTCATAATATCTACAGTGTTTATATTATACGCAAGGATGCAGAAGGAGGTCTCTTCCTCAACACTAGAGTGAAAGTCTGGAAACGTTTCATTTTGGGAGTTCTGTTTGCCCTTCAGCTGTCTATTGAAGTGAAAGACACGTTGACCTGTGCTTTGGCTCCCTTTGTTGAGAACAAACTCACCCAAACACTGAGCCACTCATATGCTAATGTTGCCAGACTGCTGAATATCTGGGCAGGCAGGAAGTGAAAGAGTAGGGGTGGTTGGAGCTGAGTCATGGAAACATTTAAGTTTAGGGAAAACGGAGACTGTGCTAAAAAGGAACATGTTGGCTATTTCAATAATAAAATAAAATAAAAGTGTAATATGCTTCACAAAAATCTTGCAATAGGAGGTAAATAAGCCATGTACAACTTAGCCACGTAAAATCAAATCAAAATATATTAGTATTAAAGACCGTTTATATACATAATTCTCATTTCCAAGGTAATTATATATATTATTTTTTTATTTGATTGTGAAATATTAGTTAAAAAATGTGGAAACAAAGTGTCTGACGGCCATTGTATTTTTTTAGATGCACTGACTGAGCTACTGTGTGCCGCAGCAAAACGTGAATTAAGTTCATGTTTTCCAGTTTAACAGCATGAACAATATTTACTTTGATTGCCACACAGTGAAATACCAGGCTGACAAGTTGTTGCCATGCTCATCATCAAATTTCCGACCTATAATAATCACAATTACTGCACACCAGTTTTAATTATTTGCTCCGTTAATCAAGCTTCTGAAACAACTTGCCCTTATAAATGGCTAAATGTTGGGATCAGAATTATCAAATTACAGCGAGAATCAGCTTCTCCCACCACCAACTCTCGCTGGGTATCAGAAGCCCTTCGAGGGATCATATTTGTAATTAGTGTCCTTCTGAGCCTAAGGAAGAAGGGGGCTACTCTTTCTGCTGAAAAGGGGGGCTGAATGATTCTCTTCTGCACTCGAAAAAGGAGCAAAAGTCACTTCAATGGCCACTTAATCCTGTCAACTCCGCTTCCACATGCCCTCCAGTCCCAATCAGGCCTAATCTGTGCTGAGACGGAGCGGTTGTTGCAGGCAGTTCAAACCAATCCAGGTTGCTTCCAGCACTTTAATGCTTCCAGGTACAAAGAGCCTACAGAGACTGGAGACAGACTCACAAAAGCTTTAGGGAGAAAATATTGCAAAGGTTGGGCTCTAACACTATAGGGCATATTGTAAACCATTACAAAAAGGGTAATAGGATGGAGGTGGAAGGGTTGAGTGGTAGGGGACAAGGGGGGTGTTAAGACTTACATTATATTAGTCTATTCTGTGCAAATCACTCAGAAAATAATTCTAAAAAGAACTATTCTGACCAGCTTCGAGACAAATATATTATGAGAAATTAAGTAGTCGAGTGGAAGTGCCTTGATGTTGGCTGGAGTCAAAAGCAAAACGTTGATAACAGGGATGAAAAATGTTCCCCATAATTTGACTGTGCTTTCTACTTTTCTTGTGTAGCTCACAGGAGGTCTCATCCTGAAATAAACTGGCATGTCAGGAGTACAAATCTAACAATTCAGATCATTCTGAGTTTTCAAATCAATGTCAAAGGCATAACAAAAAACTTTATTCTCCTTCAAGAAACAGTATCAAATCCAAATTTCGAGATAACCATCATTAGAGACACAATTGTGAGATGCTGAAACATAGCCATAATAACTCAAAACAACTGTCATTTTCCAAACCAAATGTAACCACATCAGTCGATTTACTTTAATCTTGTGTTGTTTTAGCATTAGCGTTTCACAATTAAATGGCAGCAGTGGCGGCTAATATTAAACATTTCCTTTGTCCACACTTCGACCCTAAAAGGAGTTGCTTGTAAATAAAGAGGCAGTAATAAACATCACAGATAGATTCAAGCAGAGCTGGCAACACACACACACACACACACTTTTATTCACAACATCCTACATGTGGTGGACATATCATCATTATTAGATCACTAGATTCTTGTGTTCTATATATTTAACAGTCCCCAAAGTACCATATGCACCCATGTTTCCCCTCTACCTTCCTTCTTTTACATGAAAGGTTATGATAACACAGGGTTGTGTGGTTAAATTAGCAGCTGTAAAGTGGTGAGACATGGCCACAGCGACTATGTTTACTGGTCTGAGATCAGAGGTAAGTGTGTGTTAGTGGGTTTATATGGTGCTGGATAGGACTGGTTCTCATTAGTAGAGAGGCTGCAGTAGACAAGGCCCAATGGCATTAGAAGGAGGAAGCTGAGGACAGGAGGTGGAGTGTAGTAAGCATTTTGTTAGCCTCAACATAGGTCATGATTATTGCAAAGCCAACAGTACAGTATTGAAGCTGCTTTATTAGCAAGCTATTTTCATAAACAGCAAACTTCTCCAATCTAGCCGAGCAGATTTGTGTACCGTCGTCTTCCAACATCTGAGTGTATCTTAACAAAGAAGTTAACTGGTTTAAAATCTACTGATCTTCAATCCAACAGAATACCGTCTGATGATCTGACTCTCACCGTACGGTTCTCTGTAGTGTCCAACTACAGCAAATCCACCTTGTACCACACATCCTTGAACTACATATCTTAACCGTTCTCACACAGTCACTGTTGTACGTTTTCCACATTCAGGTTTCAAGTTTCATCTCGTTATCTCTGAAATCCCCTGGCATGTAATCCAGACAGGTGCACTAATATTCCTCAAGGTAACAGCGACTATGCTATTTCCTAAGTCCTAAGAAATGGCATACTGTGTATGTATCTGGCATTTTAACGTCTACACATGCTTCTATCAGTCATTTTAGAAAACACATAAGCACAACATTGGTGTAGTGATGAAACCCTGTACAGTAGAGTACAGAGCTTCAAGGGAATCAGAATGTAACCAAAAATAAATTGATCTTACATTAAAAGGGGACCTATCATGCAAAATGCACTTTATGTCTTTTATACATAAATATGTGTCCCCGGTGTGTCAGGGAACTCACGCAGCATCAGAAAATAAAACCCTCTCTTTTCCTCCGTACCCAAATCTCTAAAAACGGGGCTACAACGGAGCTGATCCAGACTTGCGTCCGATATGACGTAATATCGGAAATGTAGGCTGGCTTTACACCCACGGCCCTATCAGAAACGTTGCTATCAGAAACAATGCCCGACTGTTTTGGACGTAATATGGTCGGTGCATGTTTACATTAGCATCGCTAACACTCAGAGCTAACCTGTACTGCACAGAGCATGTGTGTGAAGAAGCAGGAAATGAAAAGGAACTCACTGAGAGAAAGTCTTTGAGCTCCAGACTGCTTCAGAAATAATCCTTGATAATCCATGATATGGCGTTTCATCACCGCAGTATCTGCTGGTAGAATCTCCCGCATGAGCTCAGCCCCCTCCTTTAAAAAAAAATCTATTTTCTTCTCAAAAAATGCTTTTAGTTGAATGATTTCCCTGAAGAAGAAAAAAGATTGTTTATTATTCGATTACCGTGGGATTGAAGATTTCCATCTTGCACATTATATGCTATGTGCGGCTAAAATATTTCACAAAATTCACGTTTTCTGAGGAGTTCTAGGATGGGAGCCTTTTTTGTGGTGGATTTTGATGCAGTTTGCAATGTAAAATACAACATGTTGTATTCTTGCCTGACAAATCGTATCAATATTGCAGAGATAGCTTTGGTTTCTTAAGTTCAAGGCAGGGCACTTGTACGGACATGATTTAAAAAAAACCATCACGTACTAAAAACGACACACTTTGGCTGCATTGTACAGCATTATTTATGATGGAAAGTAACAGGAAGGGTTAGGGTATATTAGATCATAATAAATATTCAACTCGACACGAGATCTATGTCATAATATCTAGCCACTGCTGATTGCAGTCTGGTTCTCAATATTGTATTATGAATAGCCTGTAGTAATTGCTTCATTTTGATGACATGATGATCACTATTTCCTGTGACTCTACTGGCCTCCACCTGGCAGCATAATAGCCTAATTCAGGTGGTAATATTCATCTTACCATACGAATTATAGAAGATAACAAGAGCCCCACTCCAAAACAGACCCCGACGACAGCCTCCCTCTCAATATGTAGATTTCCACAATTATCTCCAGCATGGTGGTACGGGCAGAAGCTGTGTCTAAAATGCACAAAATACAAAACTCTGTGTTTCCACCCCACAATAATCAGCTACTCCTTAATATGGATACTACATTCTGTGGTATGTGGTGATTAAGATACCAGATTAAATTTGGTGAAAATGAAGATGAATAAAGAGTAGGGAGGAAATCGATGTTCCTGAAGGATAAACAAGCCCTCCTTCTGCAGAAAGCTGTCTGCGGGTGGGAAATAAAATGGTCAAAAAGTCATCAATATTTACCTAGCTTCATGTCCACCTGCCTGTCTGACATGTTTGTGTTTTTTAGAATGAAAAAGAGAGCCGAAACACTCCCGAGCACAGCCCTGCTCTCAGCATGATGCTGTATGTGTGGAGGCTTTTCCTCCACACTGCCTCAGGTATGAGGACACAATTGGAAGGCAGACAGATGCTGAAAAATTAACCAGAGACACCCAAGACAGGGGAAGGAAAGAAAGTCTTTTGTTCTACTTTTCCTCTTCTCTGCCCCCTGCTTTCTT